ACACACACACACACACACACACATATATATATATATATATATATATATATATATTAGCTAAACAATACATTCAATAAGTTACTGACGACATTGGTCTAACTCTTTATTAATATTTTAAAACCTGCCAAACTGTATGCTAATTAAGTAAGACTGCACAAACATAAATAATAGACTTGCAAATGCAATACTGAATCTTGTACAAGTGACAAGCATAAAGACAATGGCCTACCTCAGAAGAATGTACTAACATGAAACATCTCAACACAGTGTACGGTTTCTTTTTCTTCACTGACCCATATTTGGGAATGATGTATTCAGAGCTCCATCCAAGTACAACTGTAGCGTAACTGTGCATTTCTACAAGCTTTAGCTCATAAATATTCAGTCTGGGCAAAACCACAGCAATTTTCTCATATCAAACTGCATATAAAGCGTAAGACAATCTGACCCATGTAAACCAGAGCCTGGTTCAAACCTGGAAACATCTGTAGAAAGACTGGAGTGTGATTAAAATAGCTGCAGTATACTATCTCCCTTTATTTCTCTCTTTCCATGTACACTGCAGCTGACTGTATATTCAGACTGAGAATGTGGGAGGGAAAGAGAGGAAGGGAAGTGTTTCTCTGGCTCTTTATCATTCTGAAGCTGTAGGACACTAGTTGCCAGCGGAGGGGCCATTGGATGGGCCATTTTGAGGTGGCAAGTGGAGCTGCAGGAATAATTAGCGGCATAGCAGTGGGGGTCTGGAGTGAGAAGGCTAGAGAGAGACAGACAGGGAGTGGAGCCAAGGGGAGGAGCGGTCCTCCCTTCTGCTGGCATACGGCAACACAAATGAAATTCCCACAATATGCTTCCCACGAGGCATGGAAAGAGCTAACTGCGACACTCCCTTATTCCATGTCCATCTGAACAGGTAGAGCGGGACAGGCAGCCATCATAAGCGAGCGATTAGCATACAGCTATATCTCTCTGGATCACCACAAGGAGACATGCAGATCATGCGGTCTTTACACACACATCCATGAGAGCAAATAGCAGCACATAAATGCACACAGGAGGCCTGTAAAACACTGCTAAAATGTGTAAAATGTAAACTGGCTACAAGATGGGGCTCGATATATCCTAAAAACATGTTTGGATGTACTGTACCATCAGCCTTGATCAGTGTGAAATAAATATAACCATATTTACTTTAATGCAATTTCCTGGTTTTTGAACAACCAATCAATCAGTGCACATCATTCTAAATAAAGATAGTTTGTCTTTTTAATCTTTAATCAAAATGATGTTCCTTTGAAACAACTGTCCTTTTCTGCTGACATCACTTAGGCTGAGAGAGCAATTCGATAACGTTAAACAATAGCCAAGGAGGTATTTAGGTGGAATTTAAGCAAGTTCTGCCTTCTAAAGCCCACCTGGTTTTTGAACAACCAATCAATCAGTGCACATCATTCTAAATAAAGATAGTTTGTCTTTTTAATCTTTAATCAAATGATGTTCCTTTGAAACAACTGTCCTTTTCTGCTGACATCACTTAGGCTGAGAGAGCAATTCGATAACGTTAAACAATAGCCAAGGAGGTATTTAGGTGGAATTTAAGCAAGTTCTGCCTTCTAAAGCCCACATTTCCAATCCAACTGATTCCCAGAGTACATTTTTTGCCTTGAATACCCTGTTTAACTTAGAATTTCAAATTAAAGATACCAGGGGTTCTCAACTTTGGCACTCAGGGTCCACTTTCCTGCAGAGTTTAGCTCCAACCCTAATCAAACACACCTGAACAAGCTAATCAAGGTCTTCAGGATTGCTAGAAAGTTACAAGCAGGTGAGTTTGATCAAGGTTGGAGCTAAGCTCTGCAGGAAAGTGGATCTCAAGGGTCAGAGTTGAGAGCCTCAGGTATATACAATGGAAAACTATGGAAGTCAATGGGGTCCATCAACTGTTTGGTTAACCAAACTCTTCAAAATATCTTATTTTGTGTTCAGCAGAAGAAAGAAATTCATACAGGTTTGGAACAACATGAGGGTGAGTAAATTTTTGGGAGAACTATACCTTTAAGTAAGTAAAATGTGTTGCAAAAGGCAGTTTGTGCTTGTTGTGGCTTTGGTGAACAGAAATTCCATATTTCCAATCCAACTGATTCCCAAAGTGAAGTACCCTACATTCATTTATTTATTTTGCATTGAACATCATGCTCAACTTGACAAAAACATAAAATAAAATCACATTAAGGCAGTAAAATGTATTACAGAAAGCAATCCATGTTTGTTATAGACTTTTTGTACCCCATTTTGCAGCTTTGTGCACAGTAGCCTGTTATGTAATGCTGTGATCCTAATTCTGTTTTGTTATGATTTCCCTTTTATACTTGGTTTCCCAAATCAAAACAGTGTTTTGTCCTGAAGCAGCCAATCTGAAACATCTTGGCAGAGCAAATGAGAGAAGACGTGGCCATTGTTTTGGCCAGTAGGGTGTCAAGCTTCCTCTTCCTCCCTTTTTTGGGGGGCTCTCTGGCTCATATCTGGGCCAAGCTGCACAAAGAGAGTGTTATAGCGTGTTCTATAGCTTTAAGAACTTCCACTGCCCATGCTGTTTCCACGGCAACTGGTGAATAAACTGCTTCAGAGGCAGTTTCCAGTCTAATAATAACTAATCACACTGAATGAAAATTCCACACAAAGACACGACCCTTTCCTGCATTAAACCAAACCAAATCCCATAATTTTAAAGAAAGATGCTGTTTTAAAGCAAGACATGTAGATTTACACAAAGTCAACCCTCTAAGGCCCAAATGAACGGATGGTGTGTCATTAAAGATATATGTTTCACTACTCATGAAAAGGCCAACAATTCCCCTATGCACATTTGAATGTACCTGAAAAATGTATTCGAGGTGTCACAGCACAAACCCAAAAGAAAAAAAAAATGTGTGTGTTGGTATGTAACAAAATACATAATCTTTAACATATGTAGGTAGTTAGCTATTTTGAATCATTATAGTATTAATCAAATGCAATTAAATACATTTAGTGTATGCAAATCCAATATGAAAGTCAGCATGTTTCATGCACTGCGTTCTAGCATTAAACAAACCTATCAAAACGTCCTTTTTTGTCACAAATATTTGTATTTTTTTTGTATACTATATACACATTAAAGAATGAAACATGTCTTAAATTGTTTGCATTAAATCTGCTGTATGGCTCTGGCATGCCGTGGAGAAGAGGAGAGGGGGGAGTGAGAGAGAGGGATCTGTTGATACACAATGACAATGACGCCTATGACCAAAAAAAAGCGGTACATTAAATCACACAATACCACACAAACGCGTCTTTTGAGGTTCGATTAAAGGAAACAATAGAAATGGCTCGACTTACCACATCGGGATTGAAGCGTGCTAAAATGGCGAAGGTGGAGAGTCTGTCACACAAGCATTTGGTTGTGCTGGAGTCGACGGGCACGGCTCTACAGCCTCGCGCAGACCAGGAGCCCAGCAACGAAGAACTGAGGAGAGGAGACAGACAAGAGATCAAATCCCTGCGCGATAAAACAGCTATTTTCTCTAATCCAGCGCACACAGAGCCGCCCGTAAGAGAGCCGGAGCGCGAGAAAAACTAGTGAAAAGACAGATGAATGGACGATGTGATGCAGCGCACACCTCTGCTTTCTGCATGGCCAGGTTAGCTGATGTAAAAACAGTTACAAATAAAATAACATTAAAACACTTAGTAAAAATAATTTATTTATAAATAATGTAATTCATTTTAATATTTTATTATTTATTAAATTATCATCATCATCATCATCATCATTATTATTACTATGCAACACCACATACATAAATAGTATGCAGCCTCAAACATAAATTAACCCCTGCCCTGGTAAATATAATCCTGGGATATGTTCCTGTTTTACACTGTTCACATTTTATCCTGGGTTAGTAAATAATTTTGGGCAGCCAAGTTTCGAATTCCTCACTGTACCTTAGTGAATCCCGGGTTAACTTTCCTATCAGCATATATATGATATGATTCATGGAAAACATTCACTGACAGAACGCGACGAGCACGCGCAAGATGTCGGCAAATAAATTCGGTGGTTGTCTCGTGAACCGTAGAAAAGCCTAGACAAAACAATAAAGTCTCTTTACTCTCGCCAACACGTCACAGCTCAACGCGATTTTCAACGTTCAACGCTGAAAAAAACGCGCCTAAGTTTCTACGCACTGTAGAAAGAGCATGAATTTTTAATGAGGGGAGAGCTGACTCAGTATATGATTGGTTGTCTGTTGATGAACAACACCGCGTCGTTTCCACACTATTTGAATTTGAAATTTGACTATTGTTGACACCCGAATTCGGTGCTACATTTGATAATAATAATAATAATAATAATAATAATTAATGTAGGCTAATTTAATAATTTGTTAGCCTATTGTTGTTGTTGTTCCACTTGCAGTATTACTAGAGGTTCTTGCATTGCAAAACACAAAATACCGCCAAACTACACAGAATCACTTTGAAATGAAAAATCCCAAAGGACAGTTTGGGGTAGCCTTTTCACACTGTTTAGCCTGCAGCAAGCCTTCCAAGTGGAGTAAAGAACAGTCTCTTTTACCTGTCAAAACTTTGTAAGTTTATAAAATGTGGAGGAAAATTGCAATGGAGCAGATTATGGATATTACACTGGGACATTGAGACCTGGAGCACAACATGAAGGAGAGGGGGGGGGGGGGGG